CGCGCAGAATATGCCCAGCCACAGCAATTGCCTCAAGCCACTGCTCCTCATCCTGGCCAGGCTTTCCAGATGCAGCCCCGTTACGCAGAGCAACCCAACAGGCTCCCCGTTCCTGCTCCCGCTCCAGTTCCGTTTTCTATGCCACAAGAGGTCCACGTCATTCAGAGCAACCGCCATGAGCCTCGCCCTCCCTACGCATTGCCCTCCAACTACAGCCCGGTTCATGAAGGCAGCTTGCCATCAACCTCGCACAGCCAGCAACCCAGGCGTAGTCCGCTCCCTGATGAGTCACGGTCATCGAGCGCTCGCGGAACTCCCGTCATCCGTCGAGCAAAGCCTCAACCCGCACAAACGTTCACACCCACTGCCATGGTCAACTCTTTCCGTCAAAGCACGCAAAGCCACCTTGCTGCTCTGGAGAGACACTGTGAGCAGCTTCAGCAAGTCAATGACGACCACGTCCGCAAGGCCCACGAGATCCTCCAGGCCGCGCGTCGTGCCGCTGAAGAATCTTCCCATACGCTCGGCCTTCTCCAGCCGATCTCTGGCATTCCGTTCCAGGGCACAGAAAGGAGGTTGCAGGCCCTGTCTGACCAGATTGCCGCAGCCATGCAAAACCTTCTGCCCGAAGCCTCTGAGCCCCCCGCCACTCCTGAAGAGGGCATCAAGCAGCTGAACCAGAAGGTTCAGGCCCTCAAAGAGTTTATCGAATACGTGGAAGGGGTTCATCCTGAGGTAGTCAAGCGCGCGCAGGCCTCCGCGGAGGCTAACTCCAAGACTGGGGATAAATCTCGTCTGGAGAACAAGAATGCGCCCGTCGCCACAGGCGGCCGTGTTCCATCCGCCCCCGCCTCTGTTTCTTCTCAGATGGGTGCCAGCGACGACGATTCGTGTCGCTGGGTCGACGGACAGGCTACGCCACCACCCGACCGCTCGTCGGCTTTGGCTCAGAACCGAGACCACTCGCGCCTCTTCCGCGACATGACCAATGGCCACAGTCGAGTTCGCCAAGAGAACCGCGTTGCCACCTCAGACTTCTATCCAAGTGCAGCCTACAGCCGCCCTTCATCTCACATGAACTCGCCGGTTACCAGCCACCCTGCTCCGGCTGAGGCTCCTCACGGCTTCTTCCAACAGCCCCTGCCCACCCCAGTTCAGCAATCAATCCCTCTGTCAGACTACGCAATGCAGTCTCGACCGATCCCAACTTACACTCCGCCTACCTCTGCAGAGATGATGCGCCCCATGCAGGCCATCTCTGGCATGCCTCCCCAGCACTACACCACCCAGCAGGAGAACCCTTTCTGCCTGCGGCCCGCGCAGCAAGACTGCATGTACCCTACGAGTGCAGCCGAAATATCTCAGGCGGGGTATGCTCCCCGTTCTCCGGTCTATCCGCCCAACGGCGCTGGGCCCCAGTCGGGATACTACCCTGACGTGAGGTCCGGTCTTCCGGAAAGGCGTACCATGCGCCACGAACGCCCGGCTCCGTACTCCTTGAACTACAGAGGAGACCAGAGGCGACGCAGGGGAAGTCAGTAAAGAGCATGGCCGTGTTTTATTTTTGTTCCTCGTCTTCCTTTCCTTATCATGTTCGTTGCTTCATAAATTGCTTCATCAGCGAGTATTGATTCATGCCACTGCATCTTATGGCGAGGCGTTCTCGGAGCGACAAATGTCTTTTCGATGGATGCTCCCGGCTGCTGGAAACCAGCCTTCTTATCGTTCTTAATCTCTAACTTCTAAACCATATTGATATACGGCGAGGCGTATACACTTTTTTGATCGACCGGATTGATGTCCGGAGGCTTAGGGGATCACTAGGGATAATGGGACATTGGATACACGAGAACATGTCTAGAGCAAAGGAGGGCTTGTATGATATAACGACCTTTATGTCTTATTAGGGTGGCTACTCAAAAGTTTAGCATACTGTCTAGAATGAATGATCAGATTTAAGCGTACTATCCTCTCAGTCCGTTGCAATTTTTGTTGCGAATTCCATTTGGCAAAGAGCCGCATCAATAAGACCGTTGCAAGTTCACACGTCACCCATCTCCGAACCGCGCCGCAGACGGACAGCTGTCATCGGCGCCCCGGAACCTTACACCAGCACAGACCCCCCAGTGTCCCCCGTCTCCTCCGCCTCCGCGGGGATCTGCCCGGCACGACCCCCACACGAGCGAACATGCCCGAACCGGTAAAACCTCCGTCCTCCGGTCCCAGAAAAAAGACAGCAGACACGACCCCCAGACTTCGCAATGCCGTTCCACGACATGGCCACGCATCCCCCTGAATGCCGAGCCCTTTTTCGATCGCCCTCCAATCTTGCGCACTTCGACATCAGGACGCGGTCCTCTCGATTGTCCGCCGTGTGGGGGTGGTTTCTTTTTACCTCGGCAGGGTTCACCAGATTGGCAGTGAAGCTTTCTGTATTGAGAAAGGAATATTTGCTGTCTGCCTGACGATCTGTGGATTCGGCTCCGATGGGCGGTGAAGTCTAAGGGTAGCTCAACGTTGAGAAAGCCAGCGTGCCACCGTCCAGACCCGCGCGCGCCAAGAGCCAGCTTTATCTGGGAGCGGTCTGGCTCGGAGATCCGAATCGGGACATGTTTCAGGGACGATCGTTCCGGTTTGTGGATGGCCGCTGTTTTTCCTGTCGTCTGGACGTGGTTCGTGTTGCTGCCCTGCATGAGAGCAGAGGGCATCTGGCATCGGAGAATTGGTGCGGAACGGGGTCGTTGCTCCGCATTTTTTTGGTTTCTGTGGTCGGTCTCTGGCCGGTAGCCCCGTGATGGTGAGACTGTCGTGGCGCGCCGAGAGGACGGCATGAATTTCCTAGTGCGGGGGTCGTCACCGCGGCCGAGGTCCGCGGTGTGCGCTGCTGTGTATATAAAGCAGTCGGATTTCGGTGAAGAATGGGGAATCGGAATTACTCGAAAATCACATCGCGATATCTGCTGCTTCTAATACTGCTACTCGTCCGGCACGAAAGAACTTCGCATTCATCAAAAATGGCCATCACCAGAATCGGACTTATCGCCCTCTCCGACGACGTCAAGCAGGAGGAGGCCGTCGCTCGCTTCGGCAACTTCTCGAGCGAGTGCAAGAAGGTACGTCCCTGAGCCCCAGGTTATCGGAGCTAGCAGATACTAAGACATGAATGACAGGACGGCAACACCTACATCCTCTCCTCCAAGGCGAGCAAGTGCAAGACGCTCACCGATGTCCCGGGATCTCAGCCGTGGAGCGTCGTGTACGAGATCACCTTTGCGAATGAGGCGTGAGTTCAGCCCTTGATGAGATGGTGATCTAGAGGTTCATGGGAAGCTAATGCGTGAATAGGGATATGGAGTACTACCAGACCAAGGACCCCGTCTACCAGGAGCTCATGAAGCAGGCCGCTGAGGGCAAGGCGACTGGATTCATTGCTGTTTCTGCGGAGTTTTAGATGATCTAGTGAAGAATGAAATTAAAAGAAGCTATGAACACACCATCAACGTTTGAATCTTGAGACCCAAAACCACGTGAAAGCATATTAGTGTTCAGTTGAGAGGCCATTATTAAGAACTAGTACCGACGAACACAACCAGCACCGCCGCGTACGTAGCCGTAGCCACTACGGTCTCCTCATTCGACACCTTGAAGACCAAGCCCATCACAACCGAAAAGATGGTGACGGCGACCGACGTGACAACGAGGCTCTTTGTCGTGTCTTGCCCCGGAAGACTCATGATAAGCATAGGAACTATGAGGCTCACCCCGCCGGTGAAGGAGATGATGAACCTGGCCAGTTTGTCGACCAATGGCGAGACCGTCTCTGGCGGGTCGTTCTTGAGGTACTCGTCTATGTGGACCCGCATCTCGTCTTTCGTGTATGTCCACTGCCTCGGAAGCCGTGCTTTGAGGAAGCGCCTGAGAGGGTCGACGGGAGCTTCTGGGTGTGAGGGGGCGCGGAAGGTACAGTATCGTGAGTTGTACGGGTCGCCAGGGAGGTCGGCGATGAAGGGGAACGCGGCTGTTAGATCTCGGCGTCGGTCTTCTGCCTGGGAGCCTGTGATTTCTGGGAGAGCTCTCAGGTATTCGTAATCACGGACGGCATTTGCTATACGGGAGTTCCTTGGGTCAGACTTTCCATAGAGAAGGTTTAACACGCGACACATGTCGACTTTCGTGACTTGCATGGCTTGACTTACCATAATCGTGCAGCGTTGTCCTTAACCTTGCTAAATCGTCTTCTTTAGCACTAAAATCGTTCCAGACGGCGGATTTGAGCTTGGCAAGCTCATTCTGGAGGTGGAAAAGGTTGATTCTGTTGAGTATTCGGTACTCCAGGATATGTGGTTCGTCGTTTCCTGAATGCCATGAGTAACGGAAAACGCGCTTAGCATAGTCCATGTCATCCCGAATCCTATCCGGATTCCGCTTTCGAAAGACATTGCCGCTTTGAAATCCTAGCATTTTTCCTGTTGAATAAATGCTTCTTTACCTGGTGGAAGCAAAAAGGTCATTCAAAGAATAGAGTCTCTGTTTACAAAAAGAACGGCGGGGATGAGCACATTAAGGTACCTATGATAAGCGACTTAACCAAGTCATTTGTTTGGGTTGCTTCCGTTCGATGTCTTTCGCGGATTTGATAGTCGCCGATCACCACACGTGGCTACCGCCACGAAGCGCCGACAAGGCCTAGAACCGTTAGTAGACTCAGCCGCAGCCATCCCATCCACAAACAACTTAAGGTTATGGTCGAAGGAATGTTGGATGTTTGTCGGCAGTTTCTCTAAAGACGGTTTCCTTCCAAAAGACTTTCAGGGTATAGATACAAAACGATTGACCAAGCCGGCTTGAGAATGTCCATGCTCGTTCAATCTCCATCATTCTTACCTCTACCGAACGAATAATTCTTCAATGGACGCAATGTATAAACGATTTCTCCGTTTCCGTCGCCAGAACCAAGAGCCGCAAAGAAGCCCGGACCCAGAAAGTAACCAACCTCGGGAATGGACAATACCGCGTTCGATGAACAGGCCTTTGACCGACATCCAGTGTGTCACCGCTGCTAGCTCGAGCGTGGATAAAGCCCTTCTGATTCTGGCCGAGATCCAGAAAACCAATCAGCGTTGTGATAAGAAGAAAATTGCCGAGCTTGAAAACTTTCGAGAGGCATTGCAAGATTTGAAACAAAAGCTCATTGGTATAGACAGGGATTTGTTGAGAAGAGATCGACGTAAGTTACGCCAAGCGGGAAGAAGTCATTGCAAAAAGATCTAATTGATCTACAGATCAGGCTCGAGCCATGTTTCTCCGTCTGGACCGGGATTTCCGTTTAGATGTAACGGAACCGCTGAAGACAGCCCTGCTGGACAAAGTTTTGCCAGCATGTTCACGTATTATCCTTGCCGTAGAGGACATACTAGAGGACGGCAACGCCGTGGTTCGAACGCTTGCCTCTAAAGCTGTCGAGGAAGACTCCGATGAATGCAAAATTTCGGAGGCAGCGGACGGAATGAATTGAAGCACTCCAGGACGCTCAAATCAGCCCTGCACATATTGAACTCGGATGGTTCCCCTCCCAACATGTATTCCACCGCGATTACAGCCCAGTCATCATAGGAATGCTATCCCTTTCTTGCATCGAAACGCAAAACAAACTATCACCTAGTGAGACCGCTCATACTCAAGCTAGGGCAATGCCAGCGTGGTTAAGTCCTCACATGAGCCAGCGCCACCAACGGCGGCGTTCAGTCTAAAATAGCCTCAAAGCTCCGCCTCAGCATGGCAATTGGATTTACTCTAGTGTCACGATACAACGTGAGTGCCTCGCCGGACTCAATCTAAACGGAGCTTATTCGTAAAATTCTGGATCTAGGCTGCCATCGTTAAATCTCTCTTTGAACGAACCATCACGTATATAAGACGCAGCGCCAAGTTCTCAAGACAGGATAAAGATCGACACCACCAAACACGATCCCGGAGAAAGTTTTATGTCTACTATCTGGCCAGCCGTCCTTCACATGCTGTCCTGCTTCCGTGGCGATAAAGAGAAGGACGACGATGAGTACGCTCTGTACCCTCGAATCATTTACATCCCAGCAAGATATTATCGACCCGAAGAATCAGCCAGAAGACGGCGATACATCCAAAGACGCCGCAGTCTAGAGCCATTCGTCGTTCGGGTTCAACCGTCGGAGCGCCAATGGCAGGAATCTCCGGCACCAGTCATCTATGAGCCTCGGCATCCTACTCCTGAGCCAGGTCTCACGCCTGTACCGTCCGCTTGGGAGATTCGAGATCGGGCAGGCGAAGATCTTCAAGAACGGTCCCGCGTCAAGCCATTGGACACAGCCGATTGTGCCGAAGCGATGATCCTCAGCGTTAGAAAAGCCCGTCAAATATTGTACCAAGTGCAGAAGAGGGCCAAGAAGAGGGGTGATGAGAGGGACGCGTTCGATCACGAAGCCGGTCGCCTAGATGAAGCAATGGGGAGAATGGAGAGCCATCTCAGATGGGGGGCTCGCCGCTCGCCGCATGTCCTCACGCGAGCGGTTCTATTACGTCTGGACAAAGACTTTCGAACAGACGTCACGGAGCCATTGAAGATGGCTCTGCTGATGAGAACGCAGCCGAATTTGAGAGCCTTGAGGTACATTGTCAATCAAATCAAGGACGAGTACAAGAGTCTGTGAAATCGGTGCCCTAGAACCAGGGTATATGTGAAGATAGTTCGAGAGAGCAAGCGGGAACGAGTGATGTGGAGGATGGGTGCGTATGTGACTAGCCGTCATTTTCCTCATGCCATTGATTTTATGGCCATGTATACCCATTAACAAATTTCATATCGATATCACAATCATAGCTAGACGTAAAACAAACAGATATGTGTTTCTTAATCGTTAGTAATTGTTTCACTGGCAAAGTATCAAATTTCGAAAGGACTTCACCTAATAATCAGATAACCAAGCACTCAAGAGCAGTTTAATCGAAACGGGAAAGAAATTTGAATTGATACATGCGCTGCGTCATCTATAGATAGCAGCCATGGACATCAGGGAATAACTTAGCCGAGCAACGTACGACTTCGACAATTTTTGTACCATCCCAGCCAAGTTGCTGTGGTGTCCCTCATGAAGTTTTACGAGGGTTACAAGACGATTTTGTCTCATGTCCGTCTGTTTCAGCGCTGAGCATACCGGTGTGGGTGAGAGTGGAGGGCTTAGCACAGGCACTCTCACATATTGCCCCTTCTTTGGCGAATGCACACCAATGTCGTTGAGTATCATCTCTCAATGTAAGCATCAAAGAACATTCCTCACTCCAATGTTGTGGACAGTGTTGGAAGGAAAGGAGAGGGACCGGAGGCTTTCCCGGTGTCTAGGTGTGATGGGATGCTGATCACTCAAACGAGCCGAGTAATCCCATGACTGGAGTCGAACAGCACTTCGGCTGAAGAAAACGATATCTTTGGCAAGAATCGACAAAGCTTGTAAAAAGCCTCACGCCCAGCACACCGGCGGAACAGCAAGAGGGGAATCGGCGTATCTGCATGGCTTTCCATGGATTGCGATCGATGCTTTTCAGGTACCGGAGATGATTCTCTGGTGCCAAAGCGTGAAGAGCCGGTAAAACTCCTGGCGAATGGCTGTTTGTGTGGCTTCTTCCCAGAGGCAACTGGATAATCGAACCATAAGCTGGAACAGCTTCGTAAAAGCCTGGGAGATGCCTCTCCGGGTTTCATGTTCAAGCCCGTCAACAGTCGTTTGGCTTGGGTTGTGAACTGCGAAAGTAGAGCAATTGGGTCTACTTGGAGACTCCTTGGTAAGATACCTTCCTCATTGAGGAAACACTGCTTTTGCCGAACAGAACTCGGTAAGTCGAGCCTCTCAGGGACCCCGGGTGATGCGATTCGGCTCCAAGCTCTACAAGGATGTAAGGCGAAGTCGAATGACTCCAGCCATGTGGGAAAGTTGCCTTCTGAAGTCGAGTTGTACAAGCCATGACTGGGAAGACTAGCTAAGGACGTATATATGGAGCCAATATGATTTTCACGAGAGTAGTCGAGGAGTTTTCGGCTGGGACATCGTTTGTCATAATCCCCAACTCCCACAAGGACTCCAAGTTCGGCTCCATGATGTAAGTGAAGACTAATGCCGTTGGAGTGGCTGCATCCAATGCACTGACGCGTGGTTCGACGGCAGTAATTGCCCAGGCCTGCGATGACCTCGTTCGTTGAGGGCGCTGTTTTGATCATGCTCTCGCGATCGGAGCGGCCACTGAACAGGATTACATGGGCTCGAACAAATGCGGCGTCGATCTCTGCTAAGCGTTTGGGTTCCCCGTGAGTTTGGGGCTCTAATAGAGCCAGAATTGACTCACGGGCATATAGGAATGGGACTGGGACGCAAAGAGACTTCGTGTAGTATAACAACTGCTGTAATGCGTTTGGGCGCGCTAAGATGGCTAAGTGATGATAAAGCCGCCCAGTAGTAGGGGCCTTGTCACTGGCCTTGGAGTACCAGTGCCGACTGATAGATGTCCAGACCTCTCGATCTTTTATGTCATCGTCTTCGATTGCCATACTATATCCAACTTAGTATAATCATCAACAACAGGTTATTAACGAATTTTCCCTACCGATAGCGGCCTAGGTCTCCTAGGCATTCAATCCAGGTATCCTCAAATGTAGGAACCGTCTCGTGCAACAGAGCCATCATCGAGTACGCTAAATAGATGAATGTGAGCATATGCTCAAGGCTTGCTGGTAGCCGGTGGCGTAGTAATTCGAGAAACGAATGGATCCCGTGGCGCCACATACGAGCGGGCATCGCATACTTGCTTGCTAGACGGCGCAGAGCTGGGCTAGCTGATGGATGTTGTGACGCTAAGAAAAAGTCGTGATGCTCGTGGAGTAGGGTGCGGTGCAAGGCTATAAGGGCCTGCCACTGCTCGTTGTTGAGCTTGGGGCTGGTCCCAGTACTGCTCTGGGCATTCCGAGCGTTGCCCACCTCGATACACCTGCTTTCGACCATGACGAGGCCAGCATAGATGCCTTTGACTTAGGCCACCAGCTGTTCCTGGCTGATAGGTCTCCTCTCCGACTGTTTGATCAATACCTCCGTTTCATCGACTTCAGGACTGCGAGGCTCGAATAACCTCAAGGTCGAAGGGCTAGGACAACCTGCCGTCTCGGTATCCATCCGCTTCGGCGGCTCCTCTTCGGGACTCCAAAGCTTTCCTGCTTTCTGGGTTGGCTCGCGACGGAATTCATTGTCTGCAGATTTGTGAGAGACACCAGTTTGGATAGGTGCACGAGCTCGACTGCGTTTTGGAGGTAGCAAAGTCCCTTCGTCGTCTCTTTCGAGACTTTTGTTAGACGCTGGTGACTTAAGGCGTCTATTAGGCGAATGATCTTGCTCGATAGTGGTATTGGGAGTAACTGAGACAGCGCACGTTGGACAGCGGCGCCACAAATCGGCCTTCTGTCGCCGAGAACCGATGATGAGCTGGTCAATGTCCGCTCGCGTGCTCTGCATCTTGGGAAGGTCGGTCTGAGAGCTCATCCTGGTAGGACACGACAAAAGCAACTAGACCGAATTCAATGATGATGGGAAGAAAATGGAAGGCGCGGCCGAGGTCGAAGTTTCCGGTGTAGACTATGGCACCCCAGAAAAGAGTAGGCCCTACGACTGCGACTGTGCTGGGGATTGCCTTCCTGTGTCGAGCGAGTTAGGGTTTTGACACGATCGTCTTGAGGAACGGGGAGGCGATATCTGAGCAAAAATGGCTGGCGATAGAGAAAGAGCCCGATGGCGATGGTGATCCAAAGTAGGAGGCAGCTACACGGAGAAATTAGCAAGTAATAAATTTCAATGCGAAAGCTTGTGTCACTAACATAAGAGACGCAACCGACGCCCAAGCGTGTCTGTTCTCTTGCGTCGCAAAGGTGGCAGTGATGACCGCAATGATTAGTTTGAGCTGGAAGGCAACTGAACTCGCAGACATGTTACGGTCCCTGCTGCATGGAGCGCAGAGACAGATCGCGGATTGACAGATTGGGTTGACGGGTAGAAAGGGTGAGTGAGGCAGGGGATGATATAGGGTTTTTGGTTATTACAATGAATGTTGTTCGGGGTTGATGATGACACTCTTCGAACTGTACGGCCCAACGAGAAATCGGCAGAGAGCTGTAGTGTCGAAGTGTGTAGATGGCAGAATTCAATACTGCTACGGCAGCAACCAGTCATGATAGCTTCGGACGTGGAAACTGGCAAACGAGTGCAGATTAGCCTGTCAATTCGATTTCCCTTCGCTGGTTCGCTCTGGTTCGCCTCGAAATACGCTAGAGCACCCCTGGATGCCTCGTCTGACGACAACTACAGCAACATTGCGAATTCGACTTCTGAGTGGACGCCAAGACAGGTTTTGCATCGAATCAAAGCAAAGAGCAGCAAAAGTGCACTTTTCGGGCAACACTGTTCCCTGTTTCTGCAGATCTTGGCTGCCTGACTGGAACATCCGGTTACGGTGGTGAGATCTCTTGCGCCAACCTACGAGGGGTCAGAAGCTGTCCCCAAACTCGCCATCTTCCTCGTTCACGAACCCTCCAACATCTGCCTCCCGCATCATCCACACAAACTCGTACACTTTCCGAATATCTTGCCACAGTATCACACGAATACAGACCAAGAGCATCTCCATTGCATCCATCCTTTCATACTGAAGCCGGCCAGGCTTGTCATGTATGAGAAGGGCTTCCAATTCTCTGCTACTGAGGATGGAAACGCAACTCAACCACCGATGGAAGGCCGAACACTCCAGAGTCGTCCCAAAGCCCATAATTCTAAGGGCTCGCAGGCCATTCACTGCGATAGAAACGACAGGCAGTACCTCATCTCGTGGAGACCATCAATATATTTCCAACTTCTCATTGCCTGGCTCATGATATTCGGTATTCTAGTTACCGTCAGGAACTTCTCACCAGCGGGATTGAGTAGCTGGACATACCATTTCCCCGTATGGAATACTGCTTTAACAACAATTGATGGCGCTCTCTGACTTTGAAACACAGGAATGTGACCCGAAAGACTGGCGACGTTCCTCTTCGCACCGATTCCGATTCCTACCAAATAATCCATCGTGCGAGTCGCAGATTGCGCAACTGATCGGTGTCGAGATAGTTTTCTGGCTCAATGCCTCGAACCTGCTTTGGAATACGGACTTCGGGCAGAGGCATGTGAAGTGGGTTTTTGGCCTAACCACCGCGGGTACGGGTCTGACGATGGGACTTATCCAAGATCCGTCTCCAGCTCTGCTCTTGGTCATGCCAATTATCCTCAGTGTCTGTTCCTCCATCGGTTTCGTTATCGATGTCGGCAGATAAAACGTCACTTCTTGAATCACTAAGGTACTACAAGAAAACGGAAAGTCGGTCACGATGGTCTCAAACAATGTCCCTGGTGCTTGATACCTGACTCTCGGCCGGAAATCAAGGAAAGGTGTTGTTATCACGGAATCTAAGAGTTGTTTTGTATGGCAGGAGTGCCTGAATTGTATATAACGAGAGGAATCCATGGCACATACAGATGACTTTACGCTTCACAGGCGATTGTGTAACACCCCTTTGGAAGACTTACTATGTTGTTTGTGTTCAAGCATATCACTTCTTAACAGACATGATCAAGGTTGAATACATTCTTGAGGTGAGGAACTTCACTCGAGTGACGGAAAGCATTATTCCTAAGGCTTTAACATAGAGACCGCTTATTTTTCCTGTGCTAAAGCGACTGCATTTTCTATAGTAACATACTCTACCTTTATTATCGTTATCACTACTTTTATCGTCGTCGTCGCTATTGTCGTTGCCGCTATCGTCGTTGTTACTGTCGTCGTCGCTACTACTATCATTATTCTGATTACTATTATTATTACTTTTACTGCAGTCTGTGATAGTAAAAACTGACTACACAGGAAACATATTTACGCAGACACAGGAAAACTAGGCAGTCTCTTAACGCAGGTGTAGGAAGCGAGATTATCATTTTTTCTTCTGACCTTTTTCATACTTTCGTATAGCAGGTTGTCGCCTGCGGATGCGCCTGGTTGACTACCGTATGACTCTGATGGATACTTTACGAGGACCAGGACGAGAGACTATCACCAACTCAAGCCCCTGAGATAGATGTCCGACCAGCACAAAGACCATGGGACCTTAAGAGTTTCCGTTCAGCCAAATCCCAAGCCCATCACAGGATCCATGTCACATCCTCAATACTATCTCCCACCAGAGTCTTTCCATCCAACTCCCTGAATCCAGACCGCGGCTTCATTGACAAAGGCATCAACTCATTCATGCCTAGAAGACTGTTCAGAAACGTCATCGTCAAATCTCGAGCCTCGGTCTCATCCTTGAGCCAAGCCCACCCGAAAGACGCTCATTCCCATGGCTGACGACCTCATAGCACTGCCGTATCTTGTATTGCGTGATTCAGATTCAAGGACGGTTATGAACATCAGCGATGATGTCGACCGCCACCACAAACAAGGCCATCTAATCACCTCCAAACCTCGGAATCACCCTCAGGAAAGCAGAGCTGAATCGGGACCACCGAACCTTCGCATTCACCAGCAAGCTTCGCGCCGTCATCATCAACCAGACGATCGAGGCCCAGCCACGATCGGCCCGCCCACCCGAGGAACACCCTCTCAAACTCTTCCTCATCGCCGTCCCATAGAGGCCCCCTCGAGAAACTCACTATAAACACAGCCGAGGTCCAGCCTAAACCGGCATTCATCTCGTCCCCGTATTCCACCAGAGGGGTTCACACACACACTCATACAACCTGCCAGCAATCAACCTCTGCGCCTCGCAGTCGCAGTCGCGCTTCGTTGCAACTACCCCCCCCCCCCCCCTCCAAGAAAGCCTACGCAATCTTTCCTCCCTGATGCGCGCCCAAACCCTCCCTCTCAAAACGTAATCAAACTTACGACGAACTCTTTTGCGTTCCTCACCACATTAGCAAACCAAGCCGTCGCTGAGCTTAATCCCACCACGAAGAGGGAAGGTCCTACTCCTATCGCCGTAAACCTTGCGCGAAGCCGAGGGACTTTACACAAGGTACGAAGAGAGGGAGCTCTGGCCTCCCACCCTCCCGCGCAAGATGCGACGAACTTTGCAAAGGGCTCTCGACCTCGGCTGTTTGAGAATTGTCCGCCAATGCAAGGCAGATTCGAATCAAAACCGCCTAAAGCACGAATCTTGATTATTTCGAAAGTGAGTACTAAGCTGGAGGGTGTATGGCGTTTACCACCCCTCCTCTATCACCACCACCACCACCACACCTCTCCCCTCGTTTTCGTACAAAGTTCACGCAGCCCGTTGATGTCAGTGAAGAACTTCTGCCCCCTCCACCGGCTTGGCATGGAGCCGAAAAGTCCACGGAGCCGTCCGCCTCCAGCTCCGCGGACGTCCGCGGAAGGAGAGGAGGAAGAATAGCACCATCCCCTACGTGTTTCGGCCGAGAAGCTTCTTGTCCGAAATGCATCTGGGAGGTTACATTCATACAGGATTTCGTCTCGCTGTCGTAAACTGAGTATGTCGCCCTCCTTTTTGACTCGTCTTGGCCAATGGATGGGGTTTGTTTGGATTCAGGCGGGACATTCGTTCGACCTGGAAATACTTTTATCTCAAAGCACTTTTTTGTGTTGTTCCCAATCCCTTGTTCCCTAATAGACGGGTGTTTCGTGTGATTCGTCATGCTCGTGTGTTTTAGGCGGTACATTCGCTCGACCTGTAAAGACTTTCATCTCATAGCCCATGCCCTGGATAGTGCAGATGAAGAGACACTGGCGACGCAAAGGGGTTTAGTCCTGAGGGGTTTAGAGAATGATTACGACTCAGCTGGTGTACATGAGAGAGACCATCGTCAAAGTAGCCTGGCTACTCGGAAAGATAGCCGTGACGATGAGGGCAATCCCAGCTGCTTGAAACCAGACAAAGAGCGGAGCTTCAAGTTTGAACGCTGTAGACAGTATCACCAAGCGGCAACTACCATGCCGGAGCCGTGCTGAAGGGACGAAAAAAAGGGGTCTCAGGTATTGGCGGGGTTCGGTTGATGAACTACTGGCCATCTCCAACGCCCGCAGATGGGATACTGGTCCTGGCACCGCGGTGCGTGCTGCAATCGCCGAAAGGACACCACATGTGTTGTGCGCCGTCGTCGAGAGGCTGCAAATGTGAACGTCTCGCGTGACCCGGGTCCCTTCCATAGAGATGGTCTGTGAGGCAGACGTTTCGCAGTTTTACGTGATGGCACTGACGCGGGCCACATGCAGGACGGGAGTCAACATGAGGTGACGTGCAATATCTAGTGACGCCAAATATTCAAGGAAAGGCATGTTCTCTTCACTCGGACGAGCCCTAGAAGCTGTTCCGACCATGTTTCCAAGGACAATCGTGCCTTGATTTGGGCGAGTTTTGCCTACTTTCGTGACCACCGAAACGAAACCCCCTTCACCGGCACAAAAGACCGCGCAAATCGAGATCTCCCGGAACCAAGCCTCCGGAAACACCCAGGCGCTCAGACCGCTTGAGCCCACCTAAACGAAAAACCACCGACCGCGGTCCTGGTCTGTCAGACGCCGAAGTGCCGTGACGAGATGCCGGGCCAGCACCGGGCCTCAGCATCGGCGCGATTCCCAACAGTGGACCGTCTCCACTCCTCCGTGACGGCGATGACTGATCGGGGGCTCCATCGTACGACGCGTCTGAGTGCTCGTCCTAAGGTGGATGCGCGGAACAGTCCGACTCAAACCCATCCCCACCACAAGGGAAAGAAAAAGATGCAAATGGGGCTGCGCTAAAAAAAATCTTTGCATTGCTGATCACACAAACAGTCACTCGGTCTGGATGCTTACATCTCCGGGCTGAATAGCGGGGCGGACTTAGGTCTGGAGTCGGGCAAGTGGTGACGAGGACCATTTGTTCAGGGGGCTGGTCGAGCCGTTGTCGCGGTTGGCCCTGTTGCTCGTGCGTTGGTTGCCCCGGCTGCAGAGATATGCCAGCATCGTGAGAAGGAGAAAGAAGATTTCCCCCTTCTTGCTGCCCACCGATGACCGGCGGGATATTTCCCTTCTCGTGGAAACATGAGGTAATCGATGCGACATTTCTAGGCGCTCGTTAAGCGCGGAACGTCGCAGGCCTCGTGGAAAAGTTGGCAGGCACCTTTGTGAGCTCCAGATAAGAGAGGAAAAATTGAAGAATCCAGTGGAGCCAAGACGCACTTCGTGATCGTAAACTCGAGAGGTTTGACTCGTGCAACCGTGGGCCAACCTTGGCAGCCACCAACTTTTTCCTCATAATGACTGTCAATCGTCTGGTCAATCATCTCGATTGATATCATAGCCTCCAGCTGACATGTGCCAACCCACTAGGGCGTAGGGGAAAAGCTTGGCATGCTGTCCTCGTAGATCCCCAGATCTGCCTCCCGCCAAGTAGCTTCGCGGGCCAACTCCGCCAAGTGAGTTTCTCGAAACATCATTGAACGAAGATCACGATACTTGGAGAAACAAGAAGCTACATCGGCTTATCTCCATGCGTTCCGCGGCGGCAGACTGAAAGCCAGTTGAGCATCTTCATCACGACAGTGGGGCCCATGGGTTCCGCGGCGGATTCATGTTGCACCTTTGGCCAGCTGTTTGGTGATAGAGACAGTCAGCCCATTCCCAATGCAGAGCCTTGTCGTTATATCCATGCCTGTTGTCGCTGCCACGTCGCTGGACGTACTGGTTGCTGCACCTCGGGAGCGGCCCACTGTAGAATAAGGAGGTTAGCCGGTTGGTCATGAACGTGTTTTTGTGCCACCGCCGAAAGTCCTCCGACATATTTGCATAGATCCCCCCGTAAATCTCAGATCAAGCACGGAGATAGCAACGGGGAATGGGCCCCACTGTCCCGACCGTCCTGCAGACAGGGGCCGGTGGCGTGACTCGAATCACATCGGTTTCGCGACAAGCCATCGCCGTGCTCCGCTATCAGTGGTTCAGCCCCTTCCAAATGCGTCGTGAATGAATAAGTTACCAGGCCGATCGTGCTCCAGACCGACAGAAGATTGGAAATACCAAGGAAGTGTGATTGCAAACAAGGCATGCAGTCTGCTTAGTAGATGGGCCGGGCCACTCACTTGGCCCTGGCAGATTGAACGCCGTATTCTCGTTTCGTCAACCGTTTTGCCATGTGTTTCCGTGATCTCTGCGACCGGCTTTCTTTTGTGAAGAAGCATAGCTCGGTACTGGCCTTTTGGATCATTCGGTGGTTCAGCTCCGGAATTATGGATCTGCATCCGTGCCTCCGGACCCGCTAGCCGCCGGTGCCAAGCATGAACG